GATTTGAGTCAGTTGGGAGAAGGAATTACCCGGCAGCAGGTTGTAGAGTTGGGTAAGACTATGGAGGAGGTACAGAAATGGGTACAAGATAGATTACCTGTGAATATTTATCCCCCAATTCATAGTTACCACCCAGGCGACCAAGTGTGGATTAAAGAGTGGAATAATGTGCCGTTAGGGCCCAAGTGGAGAGGTCCTTATGTTGTTCTTCTGTCTACCCCTACAGCGATAAAAGTAGCCGAAGTGGCTCCGTGGATACATCACTCCAGGGTTAAACCAGCAGCAGCCGATTCCTGGCAAGTTACAGCAAATCCAGAGAATCCCTGCAAAATCCGGTTAAAACGCACGACTCAGTCGGAGTGACGAGGAACCTTGTGGATCACAAATTTTATTGTTTCAGAGACTTGGTAAGTGAGTGAGAAGGCCATAATAAAGCCTGTCCACTCACCAACGAGTGTATAAGTCAGGGAAAGTCTTGAGGGGACCCCTGTGAAGACGAGCAGAACTCCATTCCCTGCAGCCCTTACATCCTGGAAGCTGAGGTGCCTTCGCACGGACGAAGACTGAGGATGACGACGAAAGATGTATTTTTAATAATGTTTATTTATGTGTATTTTTATATTCAGGAAGGTAGAGGTACCAACACTCCTAGCTGTGAGGTATGCATTAAGACTACAAGAACAGGTAACCATATATCCCAGACCCTAATTTGGCATTAGCAATATGAGTGTAAAGGAGATGTATCAAGATGTAGATACTTAAATATAGAATATAGTGTGTGTCATTTAGGAGTAGGAGAACCTAAGTGCTTCAGTCCTGAGTATCAACCCGTACAATTTGGTTGACTCTCAGAAATGGAGATCCTCAGGGGACCCTAATTAATAAGACGGTATTAGAATCCGTATATTCTTCAGGTGCTCTGCTATTTGATGCGTGTAAAGCAATATCAAGTGGTAGAAAGCCGTGGAATGTATGTGGGGATCTTAGATGGGAGAGGACGTATGGGTCTAACGATAAATATATTTGTCCCAGTAGTAAAAATAGATATGTAAGTCCAAGATGTCCAAATAGAGATTATAACTTCTGCCCATATTGGTCTTGTGTGGGGTGGGCGACTTGGGGACAGACAGTAGACAAGGACATGATTGTGACTAAGTTGCCTATTGATCCATATTGTAAGTCTATGGAATGCAATCCAATCCATATACTTATAAATAACCCTGACAAGTTCTTAGATAAATATGGTAATTTATTTGGGTTTCAAATATATGGGACGGGTTTAGACCCTGGGACAATATTGTTTATAGGGATAGAGACTGATACGGTAACCTCCCAAACTCATCAAGTATACCATTCCTTTTATGAAGAGATGAGCATAGATAATAAGATCCCCATAATGCTAAAAACTTGTTCATTGATTTAGCCGAGAGTATTGCCGGTAGTCTTAATGTTACCAACTGCTATGTGTGTGGAGGTACTAACATGGGAGACCAATGGCCTTGGGAAGCAAAGGAGGTAATGTCCGGTTCTAAGGCAGTTGACCAATTAATATCTATACAAGCCGACTATCATATGAGTGTTAGAGGTGGAGATTGAAGACCTCCATCATAGGTTATGTTTGCATAGCGAGGAAAGGAATGATGTATAATACTTCTGTAGGAGAATTAACTTGTCTAGGGCAAAAAGCTTATGATGATGATACAAAGAATACAACTTGGTGGTCGGCTTCAAATGTCTCAGAACCATCTAACCCGTTTGCAAGATATGCCAATTTAAAGGACGTATGGTTTGATCTATCCATCACATCTAACTGGAGAGCCCCAGCGAATTTGTACTGGATCTGTGGTAAGAAGGCCTATTCGGAGTTACCACAGGACTGGGAAGGGGCATGTGTGTTGGGTATGTTAAAACCATCCTTCTTCTTGTTGCCTATTGAAACAGGTGAGACTTTAGGTGTTAAAGTGTATGATGTGAATCATAGGAAGAAAAGGGGACCCATAGAGATAGGTGCCTGGGAAGATAATGAATGGCCTCCCCAGCGTATTATAGATTATTATGGGCCAGCCACGTGGGCAGAGGATGGTACCTTTGGTTATAGAACCCCTATTTATATGCTCAACCGCATTATAAGGTTACAGGCGGTGGTTGAGATCATTACTAACGAGACATCACAAGCGCTCAATCTTCTAGCGAAGCATAATACCAGGATGAGGACAGCAGTCTACCAAAATAGATTAGCCTTGGATTATCTTTTGGCAGTAGAGGGAGGTGTATGTGGGAAGTTTAACCTGAGCAATTGCTGTCTTCAAATAGATGACGAAGGGCAAGCAATAGCTGAGCTTACTAGCCATATGGTTAAACTAGCGCATGTGCCTACTCAGGTATGGAAAGGGTACAATCCAAGTAGTTGGTTTGGTAGCTGGTATGAGTGGTTTGGAGGGCTTAAGGCAGTGGTAGGTGGAGTCCTACTGATTTTAATGTTGTGTCTACTCCTGCCGTGTCTTATACCCTTAGTAGTTAGGTCTGTGCAAAGCCTGATAGAAAATATAGCAGAGAGGAAGGCTGCTGCACAGATAATGGCAATTTATAAATATAAGGCTCTAGATCAGGGAGAACTAATGCAGGAAGATGAGTGTTGAAGATTCACATCATAGGATAAGTCTGGTCTGGTTCAAAGGTAACTTGTGGTGTATGTAAACCAAGGTTAAGTGATGCCTCAAGTAATTGTAAAATATCAAGAGGCATCAAAGGGGGGAATGTGGTGGAATCTCGGTAAAAATAAATTTAGTAGGCCGAGATTACCACGTGGCATGTGTACGTGCATATGCTGACGTATCGATCAGTTGGTTGCACGAGGCAAGATACGATCAGTAGTGTACGGAGCATGTGCAAGAATACAGGATGTAGTATTCCCCTCCTCCATTGTGCTGGACAAGCCATGCGGTCAAGCAGGAAGTTAATTCTTATTTGTAATGATTGGTCAAGAGAATGTGCGGGTGGAGCTTAATATGGGAGGAGTTATGTGCCTATATAGGGAGCCTGCACTATTGTTCAGGGCTCAGAACTTGCTGTATTTTTGGTGACATTAGTCCCTCTGAGTCCCGATCGGTGATCCAATAAAGAATCTCTTCCTTCCTGAAGAAACCTGTGTCCATCCCTCTGTGCTTTGCTTCCGTCAGTTTCTCCGGTATCACTTACATGACAGGTCAGGGTGTTTAAAGCATCTGCAATCTCTGTGAGCTCCATGACTGGCTCAGTTGTTAGTCACGGGTTTGGGGTGAATGGGCTCGGTATGCAGAGATTTTATATGGACACAGTCACTGAATTAAAAGGTTTTATTTTGAAAACAAATAAATATTATGCAAAAATCCAAATACAAATATAAAAAGTAAATAAAGCAATTCCTTGATAAGAAATAAGTCTGTAAGGAAAAAAAACAAGTCTTTTACCAGAGTTTCAGCACTTGGTAAATGAAGAAAGACTTGTTTGAAATTGTAGTAGAATTGCAGAAGATAAATCAAAGCTGGGTCAGCGTGGCAGGGGTTAATTGAGGTTGAAACAGCATTGCAAGGTTTAACCAAGGTTGAAACAGTGTTGCAAAAGTAATGTATCCACATGTATGTTAGTGTGTGCACCTGTATGTGTGTCAGTGTTTGCATCTGTTTGTGTATCTGCATTTGTGTCAGTGTATCTATCTGTGCGCATTTACATCTGTATGTCAGTGTTTGATACACATACTTACCCACATGCAGATGCACAGACACACATACAATTCCACTGACACACATGCAAACACACAGATACCAACACTAACACATACACACACATTGGCTCATATACAGATGTATAGACACAGATACAAACACTGCCACACATGCAGATACACATACTGACAAACATGCAGATACACGAACACACTGATTCACATACTGACAAACATGCAGATACACAAACACACTGATACACATACTGACAAACATGCAGATACACGAACACACTGATACACATACTGACAAACATGCAGATACACGAACACACTGATACACATACTGACAAACATGCAGATACACAAACACACTGATACACATACTGACAAACAGGCAGATATTGATACAGTGTGTCTTGTATCTACTCAGTGTCAGGGCAGGGGAGAGCCTGGTGCAGAGTAGAAGCAGGGAGAGCTTGGTGCAGTGGAAAAGCAGACAGTGCCAAGGGCAGAGGAGAAGCAGGGACTGTCTGGGGCAGAGGAGAAGCAGAAAATGGGCAGAAGAGAAGCAGGGACTGTCTGGAGCAGAGGAGAAGCAGAGAGAGCAGACATGGGGCAGAGAGACACGTATCAATTTGAAATAACAGCAACCATATTAATTACAAACATTTGGCTAATATGAGGGGTACAATTTATGAAAATGGGCTGCCGTGGGGTACTCAAGGGAAAAGAGGTTGGGTACCACTCACTCACGTAACTGGTCAGTGTATCTAATTTACACAGACTGATTTCTAAAGCCATTTATTGTAGTTCAGACACATTACTGTAAATATGATCGCTGTAAAGCTCCGTCACACCAACAACATGGCAAAGAGGGGCATTAGGATTGAAAATAGGGACTGTCTCTCCTACACAGGGACACTTGGATGGCATGCAGCTTGACTTCACTTTTTTTTTAACTCTTTCGAATTGGATTTTAGCAGGAATGCAGTGTTTAGTGAATAATCCCCATACAACTGCACATAATTCACACCTAGCCCTGACAGAATCACTGGCTGGGTACCAGAATCCAGGGTACTCATCAATGCAGAGTACACAGCCCTGATATGATGATCAATCAAACCCTGTCTCCATGGAGTCTCCAATTATTATTAATATTATTATAGGTTCCACGGTGTTACCGCCAACCAGGTGATCACGTGGTTCTATAACGTCATATAATAGCACTAACCAGCCCCTCCCTATTTCCCATGTACACCCTCGCAACGGTTTCCCGCCCTTCCCCCCCCCCCATCTCCCATCTCCCCATCCACCTCTAAGCGCGCTCCAGGCACAGACAGAGGATTCTGGGCGGGACTGTAGGCGGAGACCTTGACAGGAGCGCGCCTCGTGCACGCGCAGGCCGCTCCACGTGACGCCCGGCAACCAATGGGCGCTCGGGATTTAGAATGTGGGGGTTAAAGAAGAAGGGGAAAAAAAAAAAAAAAAAAGAAAGGAATAGCGCGCGCTCCCTGTACCAGCCGAAAAGGGGATCGGAGGCGAAAGAGAATAAAACCCAATTACTTTATTATTTGTTTCGGTTTAAGAATCTGAAAAAGAAAGAAAGAGGGGGAAGAAAAAATATATATAAATAAATAAATTAAATCCCGCCAGCAACTCACTCCGCACAGACCGAGCCAGGCCCGCGGCACACAGGAACCGAGCGAGCGAGCGAGCGAGCGGAGAGAGCCATGTCTGAGGAGAAGCCCAAGGTAATGGCTGGAGACACGGAGAGCGTCCATGTCGGAGTGACCCACACAGAGACACACAGAGTGCAGGCCGCGGGGGGGGCTCTGTGTGTGGGGGGCCGGCTAGCAGCCTGCCAGCCAGCCTGCCCGGTACACGTGTGAGGGGCTGCTTCTATCCCAGCACTGACCGGGGAAACCCCCAGCTAGGGCCGCACAGACTCCTGGGATTTGTAGTACAGCCTTGTGGCCTCCCTTGGGGTGTGTGTGTGTATATATATTAATATGTTTTATATGCAGGATATTCCGTCTCTCTTGCTTGTGATAGACAGCAGAGGGAAATTGCTGTCAAGGATTTGATAAATTGCAGGAGGAAAATGTAGACAAAGAGATTACCTACTAAAACGGGGTTTAAACCTTTTACTGGCCGCTCGCTATTGGCGACTGTTAATTTTAGTTGTGGCGAGAAGGAATTTGCCGCCTGTGAGTGTGGCGTAGGCCCTCCAGGCTTGCAATGGTGAGTAACTTTTAAAGAGCTGATGGCGGCGTAGGATTTGAAATTTTAAGTTCTGTGATGTTGAAGTTGTGCTTGGCAGCGCGTTTCATGTGAAGTGAAATGCGTAGGGGAAAACCGATGGCACTGGCAATCTTTTAATATGTTTCTCCTATTGTGGCTTTTTCACGTGTGTGCCTATTGCTTGATATGTAAATTATACTTTTGCTTTTTTGGTGGTAAGTAGGAAATTTTTACTAAGGGACACTATAGGCACCCAGACCACTTCAGCTCATTGAAGTGGTCTGGGTGCAGTTTCGCAGTCCCCCTTAGTCCTACAATGGAAATCATTGCAGGATTAAGAGTGCCTCTAGTGCAGGGCTTGACAAATTTGCTTTGAATCTAGGAGCCAGCTAAAAAAGTTAGGAGCCAGATTTTAAAATCCAATTCTAAAAGGGACACAATGGTCAACATGACCACTACAGCTTAATGTAGTGGTTCTAGTGTGTCTATAGCCTGTCACTGCAGGCTTTTCAATGTAAACACTGAATTTTCAGTGAAAAGGCAGTGTTTACATTGCTTCCTAGTGACCGTCACTCAGACGGTCACTAGAGGTGCTTCCTGTATCAGTGCTGCACACCTACACTCAGCGTCTCCACACTCTGCACGGAGGCACTGAACATTCCCCATAGAGATGCATTGATTCAGTGCATATCTATGATGAGATACTGATTGGTGCAGCATTTTGCAGCCAATTCTATGGCAAAACAACAATCTTGATGATCTAGAGCAGGGGTCCTCAAACTCTGGCCCCCACAGATGTTGCTAAACTACAACTCCCATGATTCCTGGAATTACATAGATAGCCAGAGAATCATGGGAGTTGTAGTTCATCTGAGAGATGAGTTAGAGGACCCCAGGCAGTCGAGGGAGACCAGCGGGGGGAGAGGTGAGTAAAAACGCCATTCCCTTGCAAACGGAAAGGGTCTGGTAACCTACACATACTTATACCATGACTTGCGCGCACACACACGCACCATGACCTACCCACACACACGTCCTATTCCAGCTCCCGGCATCACTGCGAGGAAGCAGAGCAGGGAGGTTGTTACAACTCCTTTACGCGCTTGCCCCTCTGCCTCCACCTTCAGGAGCCCCCCGTCCGTGCGCACACCAACGCTCTCACTCGCAAGGCCACCCGCACACGCTTTTACTGAGCTGGCCGACCGACCACCCACATGCACGCCCATGTTCTTTATGAGGCTGCCGGCCGCTCGCCTCCCCTAATAGTCAGCCAACCATCTCGGGGGCTCAATGGGCCAGCAAATCCCAGGCACCAGGACAAAAATCCTAGTCGCCACAGCGACCTGCCGCCTGGTATTTGTCGAGCCCTGCTATAGGGTTAAGAACTCAAACATGTTCCTGACCCTATAGTGTTAAAAAAACAAATACATAGCTCCCCTAAATATAGTAAAAGTTTATTTTTATTCCAGTCTGCTGCTGCTGGCTCTGCCCCTGATCTGCTTGCTTGGCTGACTTCATCAGAAGTGTTGATCTCAACCAATCACAATGCTTTCGCATAAGAAAACAATGGATTGCCTGAGACTGTCAAGGAGGCAGATCAGAGGCAGAGTCAGCACAGCCAATCAACATCTCCTCATAGTGATGCAATCCATCAATGAGGAAAGTTCAGTGTCTCTATGCAGAGGGACACTGAATGGCCGTGCCACTGCCCAGGAAGCACCTCTAGTAGCCAGTGGAGGCATGACTAGGCTGTAATTTAAATGCTGCCTTTTATTTGAAAAGACAGTGTTTACTGCAAAAAGCCTAAAGGGAATGTTTCTACTCACCAGAGCATATACAATAAGCTGTAGTAGTTCTGGTGACAATAGTGTCCCTTTAAGTTTGGTCTTCACAGCAGCACCACTGCTGAGACTTGTAATAAGCAGAATAAAATGTATAGATGCGGAGCTTCCTTTTCTTCCCTTTATCCAGGTATACACATGCGGGGGGAAAAGGAGAAACCGATGCATAGTGCAGTAAAACACGTAAAATAACACTTTATTAAATTGCACTCACAGAATATAAATAGCAAAAAGGCCCATCTTAATCCACTTCACTCGATCCAAAAGAGAAAATCAAGGACCTCCCAGAAGCAGGAACTAATAAATAAAATGGGCACGAAGATAAATACACATTTCGTCAGGGGTATCCCAGCATCTGTATCATGTATAGACAACATTTTATGCTAAATCTAATGAGCATAACTTGTTCAGACTGTGGCGTGCCCTTTTACACTTTGTTCCATGTAATATGTGACCTATAAATGCTAAAAAGAAGAAAATCTTACATATTTTCAGAATCAAAACAAATTTTCAGGTATTTGGCAACTAGCCTAGTTCTGGATATTTTTATGGTTTGGAGTTGGATTCTCATCCTTTTGTCATATACAATCTTTTGATTGCTTTGCAGTTTCCATCACGGTCAACATCAGTCTTTCATAAAGTTGTTTTCTCTGTGAAAGTCATTAAATGACCAGAAGTGATAGAGCTGCTTTAAGTAATCATTCATCTAATATGCTGTAACATAGTTTGTGCTAAGTAAGCAACCTTCTATGGAAGATCTGCATACAAATACCACTTTACATACATGTAGTGCCTTTGAAACCTATAGAACAGCCTCTCGGCAGCATAAACTGCCTAGTGTACCACATAAACAATTGAGAACAAAGAAAAACATACTACTAGACCAGGGGTAGGCAACCTACGGCACTAGTGCCATGTACGGCACTCGAGGTGTCTTTGCACGGCACTCAAGGCTGCTAGAGCCAAACATGGTCTGTCCTATCAGGAGTCGCAGTAAAACTTTAGATATCTGCTAATACGAAGAGGTGGTGAAGGACAGTCCTCAATTTATGCATTGCAGCACATAGAGGAAGTGATCTCCGATCACTTCCTCCCAGCACTTGTGAATGGGAATCCACACTGTAGCAGAGTAGCCTGCAGCTGCTGTTGCAGCTCCTATACTTTGAGCTATACCTGGCCGGCCTGGTCCCCACCGGAACCTAGGGAAGCCACCCACACTGCTAGATTTACACAGAAATGCAGAATAACCCTCCCCTCATACAAATAATACGAACAGCCCACACTCAAACATACACACAATCCCCACAAACGCAACACCACTAACAATCCACATACATGCACACAACCCCGCATGCAGCCTCTCACATGCAATACCCCAAACAGCCCCCACACACTACCAAACACACAATGTGACATATCCATCCACACACAATTCCACAAGCAGCCCTCATACACAGTCCACATTCATATGTATCATACACGATACCATAAACAACTAATGAACATATACAATATAATAGCTCATATATGCACAAATACAACGATACAAAGCAATTAGCAATTGCCTACCCCTGTACTAGACCGTATTCCTGCATTTTGGTACCACAGGGTGGTGGGTGTGGTATATCAATATATCAGTCTACAGCAGCTAAACTCCTGAAGCGTTATTGTGTGCCCTTCAACCATTCCATGATGAAAACCGTTTACTTATGGTTTAAAGGTAAACTAAGGTCCCTGGTTGTCCTTGGCATCTTTTTACCACCCTTTCCCTGGCGAATACTTCCTAGTTAAGCAGAGCGTCGTTGTGGTGGCTGTGATAGAATGAGAGTGCTCATGTAAGGCTGTCATCCTATTACTGCCCTCAAGAGAAATGGAAGTGAAATGAGAAGAACCCCCAAAGAAACTGAAATATTAATGCAAAAATGTACTTTGTTTCTTTTTAGGAAAGTGTGAAGACCGAAAATGACCACATCAATCTGAAAGTGGCTGGACAGGATGGATCTGTTGTCCAATTCAAAATAAAGCGACATACTCCCCTCAACAAATTAATGAAGGCATACTGTGACAGGCAGGTATGCACTTTGGGCACCCCTCCTTGACACTCATCGGTGGTCTTCTGTAACTGCTTTTATTTCCTTGGCTTGTGCTTTTTAGGTTTTCTTGTATCAAAGTGGGTTGGCATGGTGGTTTCTGGTATTTATATATACATATAAATATGCTGTTGTGCATATCTTAAGATTGACTTGGGGGAGGGGTGGATTTTTTTGGGCACAAAATCTCAAGAAATCCTGTTTCCACAACTGTCCCAGTTAGACTTGTCTGTGCTCCTTTGCATTACAAGCTGGAACTTTGGGATAGTTGTGGAAACAGGATTTCTTGAGTTTCTGTGATCAAGAGGGACATTTAAAGTCCAACTTGATATGCTGTTAATGCATAAGAGTAAAAAAAGGTTTATATTTGCACTATTTTTTTAAATTATATATAGTAGATGCTTGCATGCATATGCATATAGTGATTTCTTTTCTGTTGGCTACTTTATTCCACGTGCAATTTTTTTTTTTGTTTATAATTTATTTTTTGTCATGCTAAAAGAAGTCCTACTTTAGTCTACAAACCTACTGAATAGCATATATAGCCAAATAGTCAATGATATATATGGATTGATAATGGTCTATTGGATATTTATATAAACTTTCTAGACTCCTTAGCATAATGGAAAGATACATACCTTTATGGCTTAATGATTAAACTGGCATGTTCACTTTTAAAAGGATCCTATAGTGCCAGGAAAACAAACCAGGTTTCCTGGCACTATAGGCTCTTGGAGTGCCCCTCCTCCCTCAGGACACCTCCCCCCCCCTGCTGATGTCAACTTCCGAGTGGAGCTGAATGAGAATGCCCGGCCAGAAGCGAGCGCATTTAAATCCTCCCATAATAAAGCATTACTCAATGCTTTCCTATGAGGATCTTATTTGACGCTGGAGGTCTGTGAGGACGTCCAGTGTCAAAAAAGTGCGATTTACTCAGTGTAAATCGTGGAAGCGGCCTCTAGTGGCTTTCAGGGGGACAGCCAATAGAGGCTGGATTAACCCTGCAGTGTAAAGATAGCACTTACTCTGAAACTGCTGTGTTTTCAGCTGCAAGGTTAAAACTAGGGGGACCTAGTTGAGCTGAAGTGGTCTGGGTCCCTTTAGTGGTCCTTTAACCCCTTAAGGACACGACATGTGTGACATGTCATGATTCCCTTTTATTCCAGATGTTTGGTCCTTAAGGGGTTAATGATTTCCTGCTAAACTGTATGGATTATATTCTAAAATATTTTTAACTACTAAAATTTTAACCTTTAGTGATGTCCCGAACGGTTTGCCGCGGACTCATCATTGAGTAAACTTTGACCCTGTATCTCACAGTCAGCAGACACATTCCAGCCAATCAGCAGCAGACCCTCCCACCTCCTGGACAGCATCCATTTTACATTCATTGTGAAGCTGCATTCATAGTGAGCTGTCCAGGAGGTGGGAGGGTCTGCTGCTGATTGGCTGGAATGTGTCTGCTGACTGTGAGGTACAGGGTCAAAGTTTACTCAATGATGAGTCTGCGGCGAACCGTTCGGGACATCACTGTTAACCTTTTTCTCACATGCTACATAAAAATCATGTTTTTTTTTTTTTTTCTTTCTTTTCTTTCCAATCTTTCCTTCTTCGCTTAAAGTCCTTGATTCACCGATGAATATTTACGCATACAGCCCTGTGCATGTAACAGCTGCATTGCAGTATTTTCTACAAGGAATTTAGAGCAAAGAATTTTTGGGAAGACTGTTTAGGTCACTTATGTCCTTTTTAGTGTGAGATGAGGATTCAAACTATGCTTCAAATGTTTGATGTATCATTTGTGTTTGGCTTTTATAGCTCCATCTTTCCTTTTCTTTTACAGGGTCTATCCATGAGACAGATAAGGTTCAGGTTTGATGGACAGCCAATTAATGAAACCGACACTCCTGCACAGGTATAAGCGTTCATTTTCTAGGCATTAAATCCTATGCACAGCAAACCATTTTTCTAAATGGGTGTATTACGTGCTCGTTGTCGTATTTTTGTAAACATATCTGTTAGTAAAGTTAAAAAGGAACCACTAGCATACAAACAGACTATGGTGCACATAAATAATACTTAATTCAACAATGTGTCTTTTAACCTAGTGGTTCTGGGGAATGAGACTGTCTCTGCAGCGTAAACATTGTCCTCAGTCTTCCTGATTGCAGTCTTGCAGTTTTTGCAGGACCGATGTTCCGCATCTTCACACTCCACCGAATGCACCTCATAGATATGCATTGAGTCAGGACATCTCTATGAGAACATGTGGATTGAGGCAACACTGAGATTGCTGTGCATGCACATTAGCTGCCAATGCTTCCCTGTGGGAAAGCATTGGATTGAAGAAAATCCTCTGTATTGAAGAGTGGTGGCCATGGCGAGACTGGCACTCTAGATGACTAAAGTGAAGTTATTACTCATTGTACCTTTCAGGGTTACTTACTAAAGTGAGAAATCAAAGTTAATTTAAAGGAATACTATAGGGTCAGGAACACAAACATGTATTCCTGACCCCATAGTGTTAAACCCACCATTTAGGTGGCTTTCCCCTTAAAAGGAATTAAAACCTTATTTCCAGCCCTGCGTGTGTCCACCAGCTGGGCCCCGCCCCGATCTGCCTCCTTGGTAACATATCAGAATTGCAAATTTTTAGGCAATCTAATGGTTTCCTTATGGGATTGGCTAAAATCGTCAAGGATGGGGGTGGGCTCTAACACCGTTTTGGTCAATCAGAACATCATGCATCTCTATGAGGACTTGCTGATTGGTCAAAATGAGGAAAATTCAGTAGTGCCTACTGTGCAGCACTTCCCTAGGAAGCACCTCCAGATACGCACACCGGCGCGGGGGCACATACACACAGATGCACACGCACCTTAACACATACAGATACATACAATGGCAAGTCTGCAGCAGCTCCCTTTCGCTGTTCCCTCTCTTAATTCGGCCGGCGCTCTCTAAGTCTGGGAGAAAGTGACACTGTCACTTCCTTCCAGCATCCTACAGGGGCCTGGTTGCTGTCTTAAAGGGCTGCGGTGCCTGACCGGGCCCCTGTTCAGTGATAGTGATCGGTTGACCCTAAGTGCTTTGGCCACCCGATGGGCAAATCGCTGTGGAACTCCAATTAGGAAGCGCTGGCCTAAGGAGTCCTATTGCTTCTAACCGGAGAATGTGGCACCATTGTGCACTTTTCTATAGATCTTAGCCACAGCTTTATATTATGCAAGTGGTTCCATTCATTGTTTTTCAACTGTTACCATTTATACACTTGTTGCACTATGAGTTTCTATCTCTTTGTTTGTTCTCTATAGCAGGGGTGCCCAAAAGGTAGCTTTCCCAGATGTTGTAGAACTATAATTCCCATGATACTTTGTATGCCTTTAGAATAACAAAGAATCATGGACGCTGTAGTTTTAAAACATCTGGGGTCTACCTTTTTGGCACCCCTGCTCTATAGCAATTGTGTATATAGGTTTACAAACTTTTTGTGTTTTCACAATGTGTTTTTAAATTTTTTTTTTTTTTACGTAGTTCTACATTGTACTTGGTGTACATTATCTTTAAATTGTCATATTCTGCCTTGTGTATGTGGGCTTTCTTAACTTAATTTTTGTTGTGTTTATTCTCCTAGCTCGAGATGGAAGATGAAGATACTATTGATGTGTTTCAGCAACAGACAGGTGGCATGTGCTAAAAAAAACACCTTCCTATGTAGAAGTCCTCTGACTCCTCCATGCACCTCTTCCCCATTGGATTTACTATCAGATAGTACATGCAACACATCGCAACAATTCTGAAATGTTAAGACTGTCCTGGTTTCCCAGCTGATGTATTTTGGGTTTATTCCCCATTTCCCCACCAGTTGAAAGTGTCAGAAGCCATTTTGTTAAGAGGGTTAATCCAAAATGCTATGGTTTTTTGTTTTGTTTTTTTTGTCGTTTTTTTATGTGTGAGTGTTAGTACTTTCTTTTGTCTTCCTCCCCATGTATGGCACGGTCTGCTTTTACAGCAGTTCTCATGTTTGACTCCCTCTTAATGTAAATTGCTGTACATGATCCAAAGCAGTATGAATTTTAATCTCCTTTGTTTTGATTGTCACACTTTCATAAAACCTGTTGCTTTTGTACTGAACTCCTTTTTCTGTATTGGGTGGATAAAAAGGCTGTGAGTGCTGATGGTGAGTTATAAGAGGAGAGACATGCTTTTATTTGGTAGATTGCTGTAAAAGAGAAACTATAGGCAGTTTAATTAGTTCATCTCAATGAAGAGGTTATGGTTCCTGGAGTCTACTGGTACCTTTCCTCTGTTCAGTATTAAATGTTTTTTGATCAGTTTAACTCTAAATAAGGCTCCTCTACTGCCTGCAGCCCGACAAGGTATGGCTCAAGTAGGATTACACTGTTCCTCAGCCATACTAAAGTCATACCAGCGGCTGTAATAGGCTGAAAAGAATCAGCAGATGGTCATCTCTGCTGCCCCTCACTGCACTGGCTAGTGCTTCCACATTTGCTCAAGCAGCATCTAAAGCCTGTGCTGCAGGTGCCTGGAGTCTCTCATTTATGCCTCAATTTAATTCTTTCCAAGTGGTCACTATGTGTTAGATGGAAAAATAATTTGAAAAGCTTATTTAAAAAAAAAATAAAAAAAAAATGAATTCCTTGGTGATAAATTATTGGATAACTGTTTAATGGTGAACAGAGGGATGTTGCCAGAGGACTCCAGGCAACTACAACTACTTCAGTGAGATAAAATGGTTAGTGTCTAGAGTGTCTCAAAGTTCATTGGGGGCTTAGTGGTATTTTCCAAACTGACAAATACATTTTAATTTTACTGGTTTGGGTGTTGAATATAAATGTTTATCTTTTGGCAACAGATTGGTGTCCGAGGTTTGTAGTGAAGTAATCATGAGTCTTGCCATGCAGCGTGTTTCTGGTTCCCCCCTCCCCCTTCTTTTTCTTTAAGATCATATATCTGATTTCTTCCTCCAGCAGACTAGTAAATATGTTGCTTTGGGAAAACACACAATCAAAAAATGACCATGTTGCTTCCTTAGTAGAACATTTACTGCCATGTGAATTAAAAATAGGAACATACCAGCTCTACAAAATTTGTTGAGGGCATTGTTTGTACAGTAGAATTTTCTCATTCAGAGCAAAAAAGAAACCGGTGTGTGAGAGCCACATCGTAGAAAAAGCATGTTTGTTTTTGTGTTGTGGGTTTGTTTTTTTGTTTAAATAACAAAACTGCTTTAAAATGTTTCATTCATACAAAAGGGTCTTTGAATTGCAATATATGTCTGGTTTTTGACGATGATTTTTGACAAATTGCTTCTACAGCCAGAGTGACATTTAGTTTTGAAAACTTGCAAAAGCTCTATCTTATGAATATTATTTTTAACATGTAACAACATTTTTACACTAATCAGTTCTGAGTTGTATTCCAGTTAAGTAGATCAAATTAATGAAGAAGAAGAAAAAAACAAACCGTAAACCTACATCTCCAAAGTAGGAATTTTGTTTTACTCATTAGTCCTTAAATTGTTGCCTCTGGTTTCTTTTAATACGTATAACTGCTGGGTAAATGTATTATTTCAACAATAAAATCAAGAACAAAATTTATTTTTTGCTTTTCTGACTTTTTTTTGTTTTTTTGTTAATCAGTTACTTTTCTGACTTTTTACGTGGATTTTATTTTTTTCGTCCCTCCCCATTTTTAACTGATTGTGTTTATTGTCCCATGTACATATAGATATGTTAACAAAACATGTCAATCCTAGATAGATGAGGTGTGTGTATATGTGTATATTATAATTTATTTATTTGTGTACTCGGAACTTCTAATAGGTTATGGAATGTATCAGAAGATGCAAAGTTGGTTGAGGTGTGCCGAAACCAACGTACGAGTAGGCCTGTAATAAAAAAAGGGCAAAAGGAGGATTCAGAGAAAACACTCCTTATTGCAAGTTACAAAGCGAGACTTCTGAAAGCTTGTTGAAGCTCCCTCTCCGGGCGTGGTATGTAGGTATTGTAAATAGAGGATTTCCAGCGGCCCAGTCTCTTAATGATATGGATTGTTGTGTTTGACCTACATGCTGAAGATGCTGCGCCTATACGGAAGGAGTGACCGGAGAAGGAAGCCTGGTTGTAGCCCAACCTTGATAGTTTGGACATGAGATGTGAATTCAGCTGTGGTGAGTGGGTGCTCTTGGAGTAGTAATAGTGGAGTGTCCAGTCAGTGTGTGGTGAGATACAAGAAAAATGTCAAGTACTTTGACTGGGCACCAGGCATTCTCGGTAGGGAAGAGAGGAATATTAGTGGCATGATTGGTGTGGTTAGTTTTTGTGGAAGGTAATGAGTACATACTTTCTACTTTCTTTAGATGAGTTTCAGGCTTGATGTGGTATCTACCTGGCGTACGACTATGAACTCCCTAGGTCTGAGGAAACCATATAAAGCCATAAAGATGGCGCCTTTTATTAACCAGGTTAGTGTGATAGTCAAACGGGGATTTGTCCAGTAGGTCGCTAAGTAGTCTAAAAATAGGACCATCTATAGGCAGAAAGAAACAATGTGTGTGTGAACACCCACCACAGTGTAATAAGTGCTTAATTTATATCAACAGAAAGGAACTTTCCTGTATAGGATAAGATTTCCAATAGTATCCCAAAAGACTTCCTCTTGTCTTCCACACAACACAAGCAAAAAAAAGGGGGATGATCTGCCGAACCAATCATAAATAAAACAACATAGCGTATAACTGTGTATGATGACAAATTGTAGAAGTTATATTCACAAATGGCCACTCACACTTTTGCTGAAGTTTGCAAGCCTTGAATATTTTCCTTTTCAAAATAGGAATTCCAAATCCTCTGTCTGGATTAAAATCTCCATAGATATATTGGCATGTATGTGCTCAGGAAAGAAATGTATATAAAAGAATATAAGATGCACATTCAGAGTGAAGTACAAAAAAGTATTTAATAACTTACATCAAGATATAAAATCATCAGTGTAGTCCCTCTGTCACCACCAGGGGTCCTATGCGTTTCATCCAACCAAATAGGACTTCCTCAGGGACTTGTATGGTGTGTGATCAACAGGTACAAATAAACAGTGAACAATAAAAATTTTCCCTCCCTCCCCAGTTCTTATATATCCCTTCAGTGTCCACATAATGAGTGATCTTTTGCAGGTGTTTTCCCTTCAGTGTCCACATAACGAGTGATCTTTTGCAGGTGTTTCTTTTCTGTTGTTGAGGGTTTCTGTCTTGTTGCTCACTGCTCAATCTCAGCCAGGCATATAATTATAGTTTGGTGGAAACAGGGAATAAGAGAAAGGGGTAGTAAATATTTCACTCTGCATCAAACAAATTTAATACTTAAAGATAAAAATGAATCATCATCATTCTCATTACCTATATTAATAAAGTGCATACATATAAAAAAAATAATGAATACAAAAAATATATATAAAAAATACATATAAAAAATTATATACAGAAAATTATATTATATATAAAAATATGTATAAAAATTACAATTTTCTTTCAAGAGCACAAATATTCTGAAAGTGAACAGAGGTGCAATACCCAAATGTATATTGCTTTCTTCCCATTGCTTTTTTTTTTTTTTAAAACATGTGAGTGGTTTTTGCAAGGACTATATTAGAAGGGATACTTTCTCCACTCTATATAGTTATAACATTATAAATCATATTGTGTGTTTATTTGATTTTCATATAAGGGAGAGGGAGGCAGTTTTTTACAACTTGCCTCCACAATTTCTTCCAACTTCAAGAAATGCCATTCGTTAATTTAAAGATTCTGAACAATTTGCTTATTATAAATTCCTTTTTTTTTTTTTTTTAATATCAAATTTGAAATGTATATTAATTTTCATAAATAGAGATAGCAACCTGGATCTACATAAGAGATCCTATTATAATCTTATTAACCATAGAAAAAATGCAATATTTACAATATCTACAGAAAGAGGTATATAAAAGAAGATACACAAAAAGATTTTTTTTTTTAATTTTTTTATTTTTTTTTAATTCTTCAAAAAAGCTCCACAAATCTATATCTAAATTTAACCCATCTATAGGCAATCTGGTAGTGACGGGGAACTAACCTTGTGAATACACTTTTTTTTTTTTTTTTTAAGGATGTTCTTAATAGGGTATGATGCTAAGAAAGGAGCGTGATTAGGAAAGTTAGTGAGGACATGGTGGTGTACTCCAGTATGGTAAAGCTTAATGGTATTATGGGATAATTTGAGGTGTAGGTGACAGGAGCCAAAAGCCACCATGGTTTTAATGGAGAAGTCTCCTTGCAAGTAAAACTCCGCAATGAACTTATTAAAAATAGTTTGTGCCCTAGCGTAAGTGACAGTGGTGTTTGGGTGAGTGCTTGAGTGTGGTGTAGTAGCTCGTTTAGTCCAGGATTAGCTTGTGAAAAGGTGGTATCCTGGATGGTAGGAGGTGGGTCGTAGGGAGAGCCTGGAAGAAAACCTGAAATTGAGAGCAGGAAAGAGCGTCAGCAGCTGTTATGGATACCAGTAATGTGTACGCAGACTAGGTGGAACTGTGCGGTTACTGCCAGCCAAGTCAGCTTGCGAATCAGCCTCATGATGGTTAGAGAGGATGACCGCCCCTTGTTAATAATTTCACAAGCTGCTGAATTGTCTGAGTAGCATTTAACTGCCTTGCCGGTCCAGAGATGACCCCATGTATGGGCGGCCGCCACGATGGGGTAAATCGCGAATAATGAGTATGTTACTCTAAATGCCGGCAAAGCATCCGTCTCAGTGGTTGTCGAAAATAGCTGCTTTTTTTTTTTTTTTTTGGTGTGTTTTTTTTATTTGAGTACTTGTACACGGCTACCCCAATGGGGTTGGTACGCCAGGATGAAAACGGTGATGCTGTGAAAGGGCAAATCATGAGACCAGCCTTGGTTTCTGTGGACAGTAGGTGGTCCACCGTAAGAGGGTCGTTAGACGCTGACAGTAGGTTAGGGCATTCGAGTGTGCCTGTGGGGATGGCAAAGAGGCCCGTGTGAAACTCCTGTGAGAAACCAGTCACAAAATCTACCAAATGCCTGGCTGGGTGGGAACGCAGGTAGTAAGCCACGATGTCTGTTAACCTCGGTTAGTCATTTTTTTTTAGGTGAAAGTCCTGCCGGGCACATGATCTTGGTATGTGCTCTGAAGCAGATGTGCAACAACCTGCATGCGCTGAAGCTGCATGCACAAGCATTAAAGTTATTGCACACCTGTGCCTTGCCCAGAAACGCAATGGGTCTGCCCACCTTCTTGTCTTGTGTGTGGGGTGAAGGAGTGGTGAGAAGTGGAAGGGTCTGCCTCGCAAGGGCACAAGTCAGTGGAGTGGGATGTTGAGGCACAGGAAGGGGGCCTCAATCCGGCAGAGTGTCGGCAAAATAGGTCCGTGTCCATCTGGCACCAGTCAATTCTGGTTTTAAATTGGACCAGATGAGTTGCTGCCTTGGTTGACACGGACTTGTGGTAGTCGTAGAAGGAGGACCCCCCGTACTTGATGCCCAAGTCAACTATCTTATGCATGTACAGATCAAGCTCTTCCCTCCTATGTGGATACACCGTGCAAATGACATCTCGATATATCCCAAAAGCTATAACGAACTGGTGGATAGAAAGGTTTTTTTTTGTTTTTGTTTTTTTTAAGGAGTGGGTCTCTAGGTTTTAAGACCACTGAGATGTCCCCGTAATTGTAGGCTTGGTTCTCAAGGACATCTTGTGAGGCTATGAGGAAGGAAACTAGGTTCACATCTTTCCCATCCAGTATTTCCTTTTTTATGGAAGCTGGAACGGAGTGAGCAGGTGAGACATATGGGGTAGTGGTTGTGGCTGGGAGGAGGGTGCCAGACGGAACAGTAGAGATTACCAGGGGAGGGCCTGGTCGGTCACCTGAAGTGTCTATGGCTGATTCCACTTTTAGCAGTCTGCTATTCATGGTTTGGAGGTTGGCCAGAATAGCTGTCAGGGTCTCCTGTGTAGAATCGGAAGTGTTGGTAGACGGCCCTTGTGAGCTAGTGCCGTGCCTAGGTTAGTTGGCTTGAGCCGTCAAGAGCCTGTACAGCTCTGCCTTTCTAGCGGTGGCTGAAAAGGGGATACGCCTGAGTCTAAGTTCTACTGCAATTTTTGGGATGGTCCAAGATCTCAGGGACCTGGGGGTAGTGGAGGTGAGGGATTCCTCTGGAGACCCAGGCCTGACTGGCGTGCTGGGTACTTCGTCCAATAGTAGATAGTAGATCGTCCAATAGTAGATTAAGTAGGGTAGTATGAAGGAGGAACGAGACCTTCGGAGAACTGGCCTGCTAACTAGTGCCGAGGCGAAGAACCTAACTAGAACCAAGTGACAGGTGAGGCTCTACCTATGATTTGGGCCGAGGGGAGTCGTGGCCACTAGAACGTGGTGGCGGGATGTGGGCCTCTCGATGACCGTAGGCGATTCAAAACATGGCCGTGACTTTGGATGCCCTAGCTGTAGCCCTAAAGAAAGGCGAGCGAGGCGGCCAACTATGACTTTGGCCGTGGGGCTGAACCTCTGTGTTGAGGTGGGTAGTAGGCCTTGCGGGACTGGTGATCTTAGGGTTGCTAAGGCCAGCACCTATCCCGCAATGCCAGTTCTTTAACCTGATGGGGCTTGTCTCCTTAATGATGTGCCCCAATATATATATATATATTTATTGATATATATTTATTGATATGGTTTTTGTAGTGCTTCACATCACTTAACAGTTTTTCACACAATACCTTTTACACTATATTTTTGATGCATACACACCTTATCACTCCACTTATATCACAATCATCTATCAATTCTGACCACCTAACGGATGCTATAATAGAACACATATCACTATAATGGATAACCATTTAAATAACAAACACGTTCATATCTGTACATGGAATTGTACTAGACCAACTTTGTAATATGTATATCGGTTTCCTAGCAACTATGTTCACCACGCTCATGTCACTACGTTCAGTCATGTGATGCACGTCTTTCACTTCCGGGTTCGGATGGAGGGGATGAGGGAGATTATCACAATTGGTGAGTACATTTATTTTTTCTTATATATACATTGACAGTATATTTAAACATCGATCTTGAGAAAGACCCGAATGGGTCGAAACGTCGATGAAATGGATGTTAATTATTTGATGAATTAAATACCACTTTTTTTCTACAAAGACCGCAGAGTGCATCTCTACTTTCATATACTATATAATCCATGATCCTACACTCACATTTGTAGTATAAGTGCCATGGTGCTCTTTCAGCCAAATCAACAAAAATCTCCACGAAGAAAGGCACACGCTGGGCTTTTTGAAGAAAATTATTTGTCTTTATTCATAACTCACGGGTTACAGCAAATTGATGTTTCAGTCCATCATAGGACTTTTGGCAGGATAACCTCGTAGCTCCAAACACCATCTTTAAATAGCAAAAAGGTGCGGGGAACTTCATTAATCTACAGTTTGCACTGTTTAGTCTGGATCTTTGATCACAGGTATTACCTTTGTCTAGGGGGAGGGTCAGGGGCGTACCTAGGGCATGTGGCACCCGGGGCGGTACTCTGCCCTGGTGCCAGCACTACCACGGAAGTAGCCTGGTTGGAGCCTGATTGCTGGAGGTGGGGGGGGGACCGACTGTCTCCCCTTTGGATACACAGCTCTGCTGCTGGAGGGGGAGACCGATTGTATCCCCTTTGGACAAACCACCATGCTGCTGTGGGGGGAGACAGACTGTCTCCACTTTGGCTAAACAGCCCTGTTGCTGGGGGACAGGACCGACTGTGCTGTAAGTGCAGAGACCACGGTCCCATCTGCACGGTTGTGGGGCTTACTGTCACCCCCTGGTACGTTAAGCTGCCGCTGGAGAGAGGGGGTAACAAGCTCCTCTCCCATACATACTCCCAGCCGCTGGGGAGGGAGACAGACTGTCTCCACTCCCAATACAGTGTCCTGCTGCTGGGGAAAGGAGACTGGGCTCTCTATTCCCTGCTGGACACTCTGCTGCTGGGGAAAGGAGACTGGGCTCTCTATTCCCTGCTGTATCTGCCACTGGGGAGGGAGGACAAAGCTCTCCTCTCCCAATAAAATACTCTGCTGCGGGGGACAGGACCGACTGTCTCTGCCCCCTCTAATTCAGCCTGCCACTGGGGAAAGGAGACTGGGCTCTCTATTCCCTGCTGTATCTGCCGCTGGGGAGGGAGGACAAGGCACTCCTCTCATAATATAACACTCTGCTGCTGGGGGACAGGACCGACTGTCTCTGCCCTCTGTAACTCAGCCTGCCGCTGGGGAAAGGAAACTGGGCTCTCTGTTTCCTGCAAATCACACTGCCACTGGGGAATGGAGACTGGGCTCTCTATTCCCTGCATATCACACTGCTGCTGGGGAATAGAGACTGGGCTCACAATTCCCTGCTGATCACCCTGC